GTTTCTCTTGGTTGGAGACGGGTCGATTCGGGGATTGGTTCGGGGCTTGGTTTCGACTACTGTATAGGCGGCTCGCAGTTTCGATAGTGGTTTCTCGAGCTTAGAATCTTTCTTGTGTCGATTGTTCACTGTTGGTTGGGTCAGTCAGTTTGCTGGGGGAGGGTTTTGCGTGTTTTTTTTGTATTTGTAGTCCTTATTTTGTGTCGTATGTGTTGTTTTGTGTTAGTATTTGTGCTTTAGGTTTGGGCCGTTGGCCTCGGTTAGTCCGAGTGTAAACTTATTATCCTGTGGGGATCCTACACTCGGACATTATCCTGTGGGGATCTTTTGTAGTTTTTTCGTTTGTTTTGTGTATTGTTTGTGTTTTTGTGTGTGACCGATGAATTCTAGCTTGGCTAGTTCGGTTTCTAGACGGTCATTCAGCTAGGGGCTATAACTTTGCGCATTTGTGCGTTTGCTTAATAATAATCTCTATAGTTTCAAAAAAAAAAATATATATAATATATAATATTTTTTTTAGTTTGTGCATGTAGGCATGATATTGATTACTAATTTCAGCAGCTAATGTTGCCAGAAGTTTATTAATTATACTGGTTTAATTGCAGCAGCCAATGTTGCCCGAAGTTTATAATTAATAATTAATGTACTGGTTTAACTGGTTTCACACTTCCACCACGTTGAAATTTAATCGTCGTCCTTTCAATGCAATCAATGTGTAAATTTAAAATTTATTAATCAACAAATATAGGCAGTTTCTTGTAATGCTGGTTTTGATTCTGATTTCTGAGTCATTGTTTCCACATTCACTGATTTTTCCACTTGCCTTGNACAATAATTAAAAGTAACCTTGAGATTTGACCTAATTAAAAAAAGAGTATCATCTTACTTTTGAAAGAAACAAGAGTATCACATTGTTTCTTTCAAAAGTAAGCTGGTACTCTTTTCTTAATGGTTGGCTCTTTTATGGAGTCAACCACCAATGTTATAGTGTCAGGTAGGTCATATGGAGTTAATTATTTTTTCACATGGCCTACGTGGTACTATAACATTGATGGTTGGCTCCATAACATTTCTCTATTATTTTCATAGATAAAATCTCAAACCTTTTGTCCTTAAATTGTGAAATTTAGAAAACATGTAATAGCATTTACTTTTTTGGACCAAGAGCATGGATGTTTTGCCTGTTACAAAGTTGCGTTCATACTTGAGCGATGTTTTAAATATAGTATATTTATTTTTTATATGTCCAACTGATAAAAAAAAATAAAACAAATAAAATAACTTTAGTAAATATTATTTATGAAATTATTATATATATGTTTTATGTTTATTTACATTTGACACTTTTATGAATTGTAACTGTATCTTAATTAATTCTTCTCTAAGTTTAATTGAATATAATAATTTGTATGAAGTAAAGTTGATATTTAAAACTATAGATACTTATATATAAACATGAAATTAGAAACGACCAAAATGATGCATTCGGCTAACCTATATAGAAAAAAACGACATTTTTAAGTTTAAATAAATTTTTAACCAATTTTTTTAATGTGAAAATTTACTTTATTCCTTCCATTCATTATCCGCAACTTACATGATATAGACACGATCAAAATTTTCGAACCGCCGGTTTAATGTTTCCTTAAGCCGGAACCTTCTCGTTTGATAGATGGTTTTGATTTATGTTATTATTATAACTAACGTCGATACTCCTATGTGTCATATTATTTTTTTTAAAGTCCAACTAAAAAATGTAAAACAAAAATAAAACTTCAATAAGAAATTATTTGTGAGATTCTTTTATTTTTATTTTATTTTTTATATTTACTTTATTTATAATATTTGATGCCTTCAAGAATAATAATTTTATATTGATTAAGTGTTCTCTAAGTCTAATCAAATATTGTATAGTTTTCTATGATTTTAAAAATATGATATTTACACAATAGATACTTTTATTTACACATGTAATTAAAAAATGACCAAACTGATGCAATGTGTGGCCAAAAAGGAAAAAACACATGCAAAACTACGATTAAAAAAAATAAAAAATAAAAATCAACCTTTTTAAGTTTAAAATTTTAACCAGTTTTTCGAAGGTAAAAAATTACTATATCACTTTCATTCTTTTTCCAACATTCACATGATATAGGTTTCGAACCGCCGGTTTAAGAGTTTCCTTGAACCGGATAACCTTCTCGTCTAATAGATGGTTCTGATTTCGATTACGTTGTCACGGCTTCCGTTCGTAACCGATATTATTTTTAGAATATATTTTTCTCATTACTTTGAAACAATCAATACAAGACGATCTCGACCGTTCAATTTTTAAATTTTCCGATAATTTGTGAGTGGTGAACCATCAGTTTCTATCCCGTTCCTATTCGGAACCCAAATCGAAACACTAGTTCAAACAAAACAATTTTGATTTTTAGCACCATTTATTGTAATACTTTACAAATTATTGGTTTATGTATCATATTATTGTAACACTTTATATTAAAAGTGTTACAATGATATGATATATAAACCAATAATTTGTAAAATATTACCATAGATGCTGCTACCTAAAGTCATTTATGTTGTAGTGGTTTTTTAAGAACTTTGATTAGATAAAAACTTTCAACTTAAAAGTCAGCTCAAATTTAATCAAACTTAACCCTTCACAATATTATCATTATAGTTATATAATATCAATCAATAATTTTCACACAATTTCTAACAAAATTTCACTCACATAGTCACATATTTTAATTACAAATTATTTCAAATCACATCTCTCATATTTCTAATCATCACATTTAGAATCATATTCAAACGCAAACTCAAAATCCAGTTCAAATCTCCACTCAATCAATTTATAAGACAGTTGGGTACCTAATAAAAGCCTTGATCTCACTCCTCCTAGTCTAATTTTGAGATTTTGGTCCTACACAATAACCTATTTGAGACAAAAAATAAAATTAAATTAAAAAAAAAAAATCAAAATCAAATCTTATACTTGAGCTTGATGATACAGATTTACTTGACATTTGACAGTGTATTTTGTAGTGAATTCCCCTACCATTTTAAATGCACAATGAATTTTTGGTCAGTCCTTTAACAGCCTGTAGATTCAATACAAAATCTTAAAAATAAAAATCCATTGAATCGTTTCTGTTTTACTGAATTACTATTTACTACCAAGCTAATTCATCAATGGTTTTCCCCGTAGTCCAACTACCAACTCAGCCTCTCATAAATGATGGTGTCAGTATATTATAGTATAATTGTTATATTAATTTTTTGTTTATAACTTTATTGCAAGCAATTACCTAACCACCATTAAAGAGATACTAAAATTTTCAAACATAATCCAATTAATATATCAGTTGGTCTTGTGGTGGGTTATTTTAAATATTAGATTGATATTTTTTTTTTTAACAAGTGAGTATATTTTCATCAGACAATGTAATAATTTAACAACCGATATAAACATAAAGTATGACATTTAATAGTATAAGTGTAACTATTCATTTTTCGTTAAAATAGTACGATAGATCGCCCCATCAACGATTAAGTTGTCTCACATAAGAATTTGTGTCAGATTGGCATATATATATATATATATATATATATGTATATATTCAATGTCAGGTAGTTGCTCATATCTCACGAAACTTTGACAATTTATGAACCTCTATAATGGCATTGAATAATTTTGCATAATAATTATGGAAATGTTGAATGAGTATTGCATGACTTAAAATAATACATGCACTTGTCTAATGAGCCTAGCTACTTAATACAACAATTAACTACATTATTGAAAAGGATGTTCAGAAAAGCACTGATATAGATAATATGTTTATCATTAGACATGTCCATGTTCAATATTATCTGTAGGGCCGAATTATTCCGAATGAGACATGCTCATTAAATGAAAGATCAAACCAGAGCTTTGTGGGACTCCAAAATATTAGCCAAATCCAAGCTCACAAACAGATTCAATGTACAAAGTAATGTAGGAAAGCGAAGGTCTAAAAAAATATTCAGGACAAATTTACTACTTCAGGTATTGAATAGCTGTCAATTTAGGTATTGATTCAGGTCATCATATCAGAGACCGTAATGTTAATGCCTCCAGCTCCATTTTGCTGTAAAAGTTACTTCAAACTGAACAGACTAAACCCACAATGCAGGGGAAATAAAGAAAGAAAATAGTTAGTTAAAAACTAAAGATTCAATAAAAGGTGAACAAAACCGAGCCAGAACTATATAATTCAATGCATTTTAAATCAATTTTTTTAGAGTGAAGAAAATTAAATTGAATTTTTAGTTACATTACAGACTTTACAATGCAGTAATTATATTTCACAAATTAAGCTTTTGTGCTTGCGAGATCTCAACCGACCTTTTTTGGTCTGATGGCACAGATATGGGACCCATCTTGGAGATGGCGGCCTTCTCTTTCGATTGTTGTCCCGTTTTTGGCTGCTTAGTTTGAAGATTGAATCTGGTTCGTTTTCCTCATATCCGTGTAATCAATATCCATCAGTACTGTCGGAGTTCTCAAATCCAAAATTCTTGTTTTTCTGGGCGACTTCTCTTCGTTGGTCGTCTTGGGGATTGGTGCTTCTTGGTGTAGCTCGTCAGTCCGCCTTGTGCAGTTTTGTTTTGTTTAATATGTATTTAATATTTTTTGGTNAATGTCAAATGCGATTCAATTTTTTGTTTTTTTTTTTAAAGTTCAGTGCAATGTCAAATGCGATTTTGCACCCAACCGCACTAAATTAAACACAAATGAACATGAAAACCAATGCAAAACCAAATACCAAGCCAAACCGTGCACTTCAATGCAGTTAGATTTGGCCATTTAGTATTAAAAATTTTGACTGGGTTTCAATTTGATTTTTTTTTTTTTCCATTTGAGATTATTTAATCCTTAACTTAGGTTCTAGGGTTCATTGCGTTGTGCTGCAGCTTTGTACCAAACCGCACCATTCGCTCACACTACCTCAATCGAATGATCTTCAGCAAAATGCATATGATTAAGTGACAAAGCATCATAATGCGAGAACATGTCAGGACCATACGGACAGTACAAATCAACTGACTGCAAATCTAGAAAGTCTATAAAATAAGACAAATCAATATCCTTCAAAATTTGAAATCTGAAATTCACCATCTGCTTGAGCACAAGCTATAATTTAAACCTTAATGGCATACTTTCTCAGAGGGAAATACATTTCCTTCTTTTTCTGCTTCTCTGTCTTCAAAGACGCCTGAACAAAGGACCAAAAAACATAGTCAGCAAGAACATAGACTCGATTAGCTGGATATAACAAGTGAAAACAAATTGCCAACTAGACATCAAATCAAGCACATAGTTACATCTTATGGGTGAAGACAGAGATTTCAAGCATCAAATTATCGCAAGAAATGGTCAACTAAAACTGGAATTTTTTTTCAATATGTTTACTCAATGAGTGTTACAAGTTCAAGAGGGTTTGAGGAACAAAGCTCACAACTACAACAAAGAAAACACAGTAAACGGAATACTTTTCATTTGGTTTGGGTAGTTGGTATACAATGCAGTGCAAACATTATATATCATAGATATCTTCAGATTCATACAACAACAACATAGCCTTTTAGTCCCAAGAAAGTTGGGGCAGGCTATTGCAAAACTAGCTAGATACACAACATATCTTCAGATTCATATTTTTCAGAAATTGCAAAACTAGCTAGATACACAACTATCTTATTTAACAAACTGTATCTAAAACATTATAACATCAAATAACCTTTTTCAGAAGTATATGTCTCCCCTGATCAATTATTATAAGTCTCAGACATGAGTAATAAACATGGGGGATTTGCAAACATGAGTAATACAGTTCACTTAAGAGTTATGATTCCAATTACGTGAGTGTGAAAACTTACAATCTAGAATTGTAAATGGCCAAATTACACAGCATAGGACACAAATTGAAAAGTCACCATATAATTCTTTTGTAAGGTGAAACACTGTCATTCCCAATAAAACATTTAAAATATCCACCAAATGAATAAGAAGATATCAAGATCACTTATTTGAAACAGGCCCACACAAACTAAAATATCGCAGCAAAATAACAAGATAAGATTACAATACCTGGTGCTTGGTGAGGCGGCGGCGGATGGCACGGGTCTTCTTGGGGCGGAGATCGAGCGGCAAGTACTTCTTGTTCTTGTAGACTTCCCTGAGAGCGGCCTTCTGCTTCTGGGAAATCACGGTGAGGACCTGGGCGATCGAGAGCCTGACCACCTTGATCTTGGACAGCTTGTTCGGCGCCCCGCCGGTGACCTTGGCTACGCGCAGCAGAGACAGCTCCGCCTTCAACTCCTTCAGCTGCGCCAAAAGCTCCGCCTTGCTCTTCTGCCTCAGCTCGTGCACCTTAATCCTCGCTGCAAAATTCAAGAAAAATACGGTTACAACAAGTAATCTTTCAGGACATTGACGAGTGAGAGCAAGATCTAACTGTACATGTCTTTAATCAATTAATCGACCATGGCATACCCATTTCAAGTCTCTTCTTCTTCTCGGCTGCTAGTGGAGAACTAGGGTTCTGGAGGAATGCCGCAGATGAAATGTAGAAAACCCTCAATCTCCTTATATATGTCCAAGTTCAAGTCGGCACCCAATATTCAGCAAGCGGAGGCCCAAAAAGATATTTAGCCCATATATAGGAAGAGGAAAATAAAATGGCCCAATACCTCATAATAAGAATTTCCTTATTTTTCCTGAACTTGATAAGTTTTAAGGACGGAGTTCACCATGATTTTAATTATTATATGTGTTGATAAGGTTGTTAAATGAAATCGTGAGCTTGACCCTGCTCGATTAACAAGTGAGTCGAGCTGAAAACTCATGTAAGGCTCGTTAAGTGAGTTTGGGTCATTAAGGTTTGATAAATATGAGTTTTTTACGTGTTTTTTTAAAACTTTTAGCATAATCTATTTTGTCAAGGCATGATAACGAGTCCGATCGAGTATCAAGAATTCGAGCTCGACTAAGTTTGTTTACAACTCTAAATTGGTAAGTCAAAGCCTGTAAAGTTCAAGTACTTTTGTATGAATAAAACTATTTTTTTACTTGATGAATTGACATCAAGGATAACAAAAAAATGATCTGTATGTTGACTAGTTGTAGTGTAAAGTAATATAACACGTTTTCAAACTTCATGTCATGCTCTATCTCAGCATGATCATTTTTTCTTTCCCCGGCCAGAGAAGAATTCCGAGAAGCTCATAAAGCAAGTAGATTAATTAAACTAATTGAAGTATGACAAGGCTTTTTTTGCATTAAAACACGGATTTGGTATTGTAGTTAGTCCCCATTACACCCAAACCATTCTGCACCAAATCCACTCCATCAACTCCACACCACACCATCACCATTAATAACAATCCGAGCTAGCCAGCCTTATTATACATAATCCCTATATAATCATCACATACCATCCCTCCTAAGTCACTAACTCAACCCCCTCACATTTGTTAACAAACAATCATCGCTAGCTACTCCCTTCTCCAAAAACACATTCCCAAAACACAAACAACAATCATGGCCTCCCACCATAAACTCAATGGCCTCCTCTCCTTCCTCTCCCTCTTCCTCCTCCTCCTCTCCTCCGCCTCCCCCGCCCGTATCCTCCTCGACGAGGAGAATCCCGCTGCCGCCACCTCCGCCACCGTCCCCGGAGGCGGCTCCTCCATTGACGGGGAGGCCGTCACTGCCCCCTCCACTACTGCCCTCGGAGGCAGGGAGGATGCCGCCGCCGGCCCCACCTCCGTTGGCGGCGGCTCCCCCATTGACGAGGAGGGTGCCATCGCCCCTGGAGGCGGCTCCTCCATCGATGGGGAGGATGCCGTCGCCGGCCCCACCTCTGCCACCGACGGCTCCTCCTCCGTCCCGGAGGGCGGCGATGGGGCCCACCATCCCCTGACGTTCTTCATGCACGACGTGCTCGGCGGCTCACGCCCCTCCGCGGTGGCGGTGACGGGCATCGTGACCAACCCGGCGGTCGGGGGCCAAGTCCCGTTCGCCAAGCCCAACGGCGCCGTCCTTCCGGGCCGCGGCGTGGGCCCCACCGCCACCAACAGCAACAACGGCATCGTCAGCAGCAGCAGCAATAACAACAACAATAACATGGTCAACAATAACAACAACATCCCCTTCCTCACGGGCCTCAGCGGCTTCACCTCCTCCAACGTCATGCAGAACAACAACAACGGCATAATCGGAGGTGTCCCCGGGTTCCCGTCCCTCAACAGCGCCCAGTTCTCGACCGGGACCACCCTCCAAAAGCTCATGTTCGGGACCATGACCGTGTTCGACGACGAGCTGACCGAGGGCCGAGACCTCGAGTCGGGGCTCGTCGGCAAGGCGCAGGGGTTCTACGTGGCCAGCTCGGAGGACGGGAGCAGCCTGACCATGGCGTTCACCGTCATGTTTGCAAGCGGGAGCTACGCCGACAGCCTTAGCCTCTTTGGGGTCCATCGCACGGCAGTGGCCGAGTCGCACCTGGCCATCATGGGGGGCACCGGAAAGTTCGTCAACGCCAAGGGATTCGCGACCGTCAAGACTTTTCAGGGCAACGGCCAGCACAACACGGATGGGGTCGAGACCCTACTCCAGATTACGATTTACCTCGCATACTGATCGATCGTGTGCTTGCTTGTAATGTGTATTTCTTGTGTTTGATCCTTTATTCTTGCACCTGTGCTCTTATTTTTAAGTTTGTCTGGAATTTGCAAAATCAAAGTAAACCAGTTCTCTCATTACATTTATGGTGAAGCTGGTCTTTTATTGTACACCACTTCAAAACTTAATTTCATACTTAATTAAGGAAAAGGTTAATATAATCTATATAGTTCCATGACCTTTGAGCTAGCAAGACACAGCACATCTGACAGCATCATAAGCCAAAAAACAGAGGCGTTGGACATCTGAGTTATTATTAGTTATTAGTATGGACGCTGTTACAAACACTGCATTATTGTGTAGTCACTAATTGCTACATATAACCAAGTAATATGTACAGTATGTTGTCACTTAACTATGTGCAGCACGAATATAATATGTTTGCTCATGAAAATCCATCACATATCACATATATTAATTCAAAACCTGTTGAATTTATGTGGCGATCTCGCATGTTTCAGATGCTGACATGACAAAATTTTGTGCTTCGTGATTTGGTTCGTATATACATTATTGCTTTGAAATCAAGTTTGATATGTGACATAAGTAATTTATTGCAATTTTCGCATGTATGCATTTATTTTTGTCTCATTTATTTATTTTTTCAAATCAAATCTTACCAGACAATATTAATATTATTTATTCTCATTTATTAAAATTCATACTTTTTTATATTATTTTTAAAGTTAATAGCTTTCTTATCTTTATTCAATTTTTCATATATGATTTATCAAAGTAATCATCTTTTACGATCTTCATTTGACATTCATATCACATACAAATTTAAATTAATTTCATTAATCTTCACAACAACAAAAAATACTATTTGTCAAACCAAATTAAAAAATACAAATTTATATATTTTCGTATAAAAAAAATAGTTCGACTATTTTGCCCTAAAATAATAATTCTTCCTTTGTAATAGTTTCAAAACATATGCAGATATTAAGTATGAACATGAATATGAAAAAAATTCGAAACTTATCTTTCCATTTAAATAAAGTATAAAAAGAATGGAATTTTATTGTAATGTTTAAAATAAAAATTATAAGTAATATCAAACTTAAAAGTAATAGGAAAATTATTAATTATAATTCATAAAGTTTGATAAATATTAATTTATATTTTCAACAATCGATTATATTAACTATAATATATAATAAACAAGAAATAAAACATAATTTATTGTTTATTGTATTAAAATTTTATATGACATTTAAAAATATATCTATAAACAAGCATACAACTCATGATGATTCAAATTTATCCAATTAATGTTAAATAAATAAAAATTAGATTAGAAGAGTTGTAAATAATATTTTTTGTAAGACATATATAATTTCATAAATGTAATTAAAATGATTATAATTTTTGACAATTAGGAGAAAAAAGTTTTGTCATTTTAAATAGTTATCTCCCTATTAATTATTCATTATTATTATTATATATTTTATTTTAATTATCTCACAATAATATAACTATTTTTATATGGTTGTTCTTTATTATATATTTTTTTTCACACCCTTGTAGTATGCAAATACTAGATAGAACTTGATACGTTAATATTATTATTTTTTAATATATTACATTAATTGTGATACCCGAGTCATGATACGAGAATTTAGAAAAGCTCAAACGATGTGTAACAGTGTAAGATTTGGTGTGGGTTTGGTTAAAAAGGGATTTTCAAAAAAATTAGACAAAAATTAGCTTTGAACTCAAATTCTCATCAATATAAATATACGATTTTCAATTTTGGAAAAAACGCAGCACCAAAATTTCAGTTCCTCAGAAAAAAATGGTGGAAAACAGAAAATGGAAATTCTCCATACTTGGCTGCTTGGTCTCCTTCATCTCTGTTCTTTGTACCCAGCTCACGCTCTCTTTTCTCCCTCTCATTCTCCCCACCGCATCCCTTTTCACTCTCCTCCCCCTCTCAGGTTCTCTCTCTTTCTCTAATTGTGTACAGTTACGCACAAAGTCATTTTCTTCGCGCTCATTTTTTTTNTCAATTGCAGCCCTGCTGCTTGTAATTGTCGTGGGTTTGGGGAGATTCTGCAAGAGGGCTGCTGGTGTGAGGGCCTCGGCTCCGGCTTTTGTGTTTCTTAGCATTTTGTTTGTGTGGGCTCTTTACTTTTTTGTGATTCGCCAAGGTACTTTCGCTGCTAATTTGAATTCTCTTGATTTACGGTGAATTCCTGGTCCCAGTTGTGGAACACTTTCCATGAAGCTAGAGGGAGATGCTTGTTGATGGGCTTGGATTCTTAGTTTCGGTTAGGGTTATAGCTTAACTGGAATTTCGGTTACATGAAATTTCAGAGTTGTTTTGCATAATAAAAGGGTACTTTGTCTCTTGATGTCGGTTGCTAATGCTTAGGAGTGTTGGGACTTGTTACTTAATAGAGGATTTGTGATGGAGAATTATGTCAAACTTTTTACCTTCTACTTCTGTGATTAATGTATTTTGTATCAGTAATTGTGTGATTTACATTTTTGCAGTTATTTCCCCATTTGTGGATGTTGTGTTCAATGTTGAGGTTATCATGGTGATCATTGGCTTGTATCGGTCAGTTGCTTATTTTTGTTCAGGGATTCATCTTTATGCATATATCTATATGCAATGGAATGAAAAAGTCTGATTATTTATTTATTTTTTTGTTTTTTTCAATTTATTTTCTTCACACCATCATAGTGCCATATACTGACAGCATTTTTGTTGGTTGCAGTATTATGTCATTGGACCCTGGCTATGTCACCAATGATATTTCCTGCCATGACTTAGAGGTGCTTCATGTTCATTTCTATTTTTGTTAATGTTAGCAAGATCTTAAGATTACTAAATGTTCTGTTTTAGGAGTTGAAAATTTCAGCGCCTATCGAACATCGTGAATCTTTGGCCCAGGAGGTAAAAGATGCTTCTTCTAATTTAATTAATATTCTCGGTGAAAATGAAATCTTCTTTTTTCATTCGCCATTACTTCCTGTTAATTGGTGGTTAGGCTTGATTCAGCTGGCTTTATGCATAATTTGAGTTTTCAGGATTGACTACATGTTAGCCCAAATATTCCGTGCGTGAAATATTAATTGCGATTTTCAGTCTCTTAATGCATTTGTAATAATGCTTCTCTGAATGTTAAATAAGTATGAAGATTGGATATGTGAGCATAGGGTACTTATTAAGACAAAAGGATTGGAAATACTAAGAAATGGTAGATTAATAAAATTGTAGTCTTATAAGCTATAAGCTCTTTTCCTCTAATAGTAAGTTCAGGTTCCGATTAAACACGCACTATTAGACGAACGGTACATTGTGCTTCAAATTCAAATCCACGTTTTTATCAGCTGACCATGAAGAATAAAAAAAAAAAAAAAAAAAAAAAATCTGCTAAATTCTNAAAAAAAAAATTCTGCTAAATTCTGATTCATGCATAGTTGACCACATGGTCCACATTATGCTATGTTCCAGGTTCTTACAGGACAAAGGAGTGCAAAATATTGCACACACTGCAAGCATTATGTTACAGGTTTTGACCATCACTGTCCTGCATTTGGAAACTGTATAGGTAATAATAACCTTTTGTGGCATCTACTTTTCTTGATGATGGAACTGAAATAAGGTGTTAATATTTTTGAATGGCTATACTATTTTCAGGTAAAAAAAATCATCTTTTCTTTATAGTGCTTCTGGTTGGATTTGCCACATCTGAGGCATCTTTTGCAGTATGTGCTTCCCATTGTGAGTCCAAGCTAACTGGCCTTCAGTTATTACTACCTTTTCTGGTACAGAATATTCATTATAAATGTGAGATAAAAGTATATAGACCTTTTGATATGAGATTGGATAGACTAAGGACAAAGATTTAAGTTTTTTCACGAGATTTGCAAATAATTTTAGGGTGTAGAGGAATTCTTAGAGGAAATTTAGTGCCAAGAATAATTGAGATCTCCTTTCTTAAAACATATGCAGCATCTTTATCTTGTAAACCTGATTAAGGAAAATAAGTTGGTCATCATAAAAATGTATTAGTACATCTAGAAATTGTTAATAGAATGTCAAAACTATTTTAATGCCAATTAAATTTGATTATAAA